GTACAATGACGGTGGGGACTGGTACCAAACTTTTTGTCCCATAATCCTTCTAGGTCATTTAAATTGAACATGGCGGACACAACCACAAATTTGGAAACTCCAAATTAGAAAGAAATGGGTAAATACAGCTCCGATTCTGACGACGATAGACGAAAGAAATACAAGTCTTCCAAGAAACGCGACAGGCGGAGCAGAAGCCGGGAACGACGTAAAAGGTCGCGTTCCCGGGAACGGAAACGAAGTCGATCAAGGAGTAGCAGTTATGACGACTACAGAAGGAGCAGGTTTGGAATTCTGGAACCAACACATTTTTCTGTCGCGTTTCTTTGTTTCCCTGGTAAATAAGAGACTAATTTATGATCGTCTGCTTTTCCTTCTTGATAAAAAAAAATCAGATCAAGTCGAAAAGGTGAGTAGTTGCCGTATAAACTTTTTACGTCTGACAACTAATTATGAAGCACTGATCTGAAATAGTAGAAGAGGGTTGTCAAAAAGATTTCAAGTAGCAGGAGAATAAGGGAAAGAAGCCAGCACGCTGACTCGTCTCCAGTCGTCTCTCATTCTTAGTATTTGGTTTGGAAGACTAAGCGCTTCCCTAGTAAATAATAGGCTGATTTAGCGACAGAACGGGAACATCAGTCGACAACGGCGCGCGCAAATCAAACAACTGGCTTGACCAATGGCAGAGTGGCAAATTGAGCAGTGGAAGTCGTGTTTAGTCCTTTCCGCGTGCCTTCCTGTCATCAACTGATGTTCCTGTCCAGGGAACGGGACGGGAACGTCAAATGACAAAGGGAAAGCATGCGGAAAGGACTCAACGCAACTTCTGGTGCCCAATTTGCAGCTCTGCCATTGGTCAAGCCAGTTGTTTGTTTGATGTTACTAGGGATATGTGTTCCTGGGTAGGGTAAACCCATTTCACTTGGGATATGTATTTCATGGGAGCCGAAGGCCCCCCACCAGGCAAGAGGTCTGGGGGCAACACACCACTTGGGATAATATCCCTAATGAAATGTGTTCATATCACTAAGGATATGTGTTTCCTGGGTGGGGGAACTCATGTCACTATTTATGTGTGTTTCTTGGATAGGGGAATACATATCACTAGGGATATGTAATATGTGTTCCTAGGGAGGGGAAAAACATTTCACTTGGGATATGTAATATGTGTTCCTAGGGAGGGGAAAAACATTTCACTTGGGATATGTAATTTTGGGGTAGAGGAACACATATCAGTAGAAATATGTGTTCTTGGAGTAGGGGAACACACATCACTAGGGATATGTGTTCCCCTACCAATTAAACACATATCACTAGTGATATGTGTTCCCCTACCCTGGAAAGATATTTCCCTTGTGATATGTCTTCCCCTACATGGGAAACTTATATCCCTAGTGATATGTGTTGCCCTACTCGGGAAACATATATCCCTAGTGATACGTGTTCCCCTACCCTGGAAACACATATCCATAGGATATGTGTTCCCCGGGTAGTGGAACACATATCACTAAGGAAATGTGTTTCCTGGGTAGGGGAAAACATGTTACTAGGGATATGTGTTCCTGGGTAGGGTAAACCCCATTCACTTGGGATATGTATTTCCCAGGTAGGGGAACACATATCACTAGAAATATGTGTTTCTGGGTAGGGGAACACACATCACTAGGGATATGTGTTCCCCTACCCATGAAACACATATCACTAGGGATATGTGTCCCCCTACCCAGGAAGTAAATATCTCTAGTGATATGTATTCCCCTACCCAGGAACAAATGTCACTAGTGATATGTGCTCCCCTGCCTGGGAAACAAAAATCTCTAGTGACATGTGTCAATGTAAGAATTTCAGTCCCAAACAACTGTCAGGTCTGATAGGGGTACTGGATTAATTTTTATTCAGGGCAATGATCACTCCCGCTAAATGTGCAATAGCAGCATACTAAGACTCAGTGTCCTCAGCTGGTTTTTGGGATGGGATTTTAAAGCAAAATGGGGGAGAGATTTGGGATTGAAAGTATGCACGACATACAGGATGCCCCAAATAACCATTAGGATTAAGGGTGGAATTTTATTTACCAAGTAAAAATGTAAATGGGTGCTGTTCTCAGGTCCCACTGGCAGCTGTTATCAATCTATTTTATGAGTTTACAGTAACCCACCTACTCAGAATGACGTGGGAGCAACTTCAGAATACCTGGCCACAAATTTTCCTGTTAAATGTACTGCTACTGCGGTCCACAGCCCACAGTCAGTGAAAAGGAATTTTGTGTGTAAATATATTGCTACCGTGGTCCGTAGTCTTGTAGTAAGAGTCGGTGAATTTGAAAGTGATTGAGTGTATAAATGTTGTGCTACCGCTGTCCACAGTCCCGTAGTCAGTGAATTTGAAATTAACTAAGACTGTAAAATAATGTTCTGCTGCCTTGGTCTTCAGTCCCAAAGTCGCTGAATATTAAGTTTAGTAGAGTAGCTGCTATATTTTAAAACTGGCTTAGTTGGGATTTGTGGATTAAAGAATGAGGTATATTACATTATAGCATGCTTGTTTCTGTTCATGTGGATTACAGAACCGAGTTTGTTACATGTATAGCATGGCAGACCACAGTGGCAGGAGGTGTTTAGGAATATTTTAGTAGCTGGGTATTCTTAGTTTAGCCATGACATGTGCAATGAGGAAGACCATACCACTGGTAAAACTTTCCCTACTATTTTTTGAAATGTGGGTTCTTTCACATCCCCTTCAATTTCACTAATGAAAGAAAGACGAAGAAGGCAAGGCTTTTAAACCTTCAACCTAGTGATCCGATTATCTTTAGTTAATTGAGATAAGGTCTTAACTTACAGTCAGTGTGATCTTACCAAGACCCTGCAGGTTGGTGGTTCGGCCAGGGTTTGTACCTTTATCCTCCTGCGCTGCAAACCAGAACTCTTCCCTACTGAGCTAACCGAGCAGCAGTTATTGCAGATTAGTAATCAAGTTTTGGCAACTGCTCCCAGGCAACCACCATATTTTTGTATTCTTTTCAGATCGCAGGTACAGCCGATCAGGCAGTAGCAGAAGCAGTAGTTATTCAAGTGATGAAGAAAGACGAAGAAGTACAAGAGATAAAAAGTGAGGGGGGCCCCATATTGTTATTTTTGCTTCAAGTGTTCTTTTTCTCTGTTTTTATGTTTGGTGATTGATCATATCAAAGAAAAGAAGGAAAACAATTCAGCCAAGAAGGATAAAATTTAACCAACTCATATATATTATTTCAATTTTTTTTGGATGGTTCAGCATGTAGTATCAAGGGACCTTTTAACAAGTCACCCTGTACTTTGGTGAGGTGACAGGGCAAGTCAAATGACACAGACTACTACACACTTATTCCCCATTCACACCAAGTAGAGATGTTTCATCGAACCAGGTTTTAAAAAACAAAAAACAGACATGGAAAACTGGAACACAGGTTTTCACACAGGATTCAAATGAAATTCAACATGTTTTGCAATTTGCAAAGCCTTATGTCCATGTGATCACCGTGCGTGCAATGGCTGAATATAAAAAATACAGCAAGCTGAATGAGCAAAGCAATGTAGTGATTAGTCATGCACATGAAACCAGGTCAGCCTTTTAACTCCCAAAAGTGACCGAAGTCAAAAGTATTCAACAAAGGTTCAAAATTTCATTTAGGTGAAATGAAATTTTACCAAAGGAATGGTAACTCCATATGATTTTATCAACATACAAAAATTAGAACTGCCTTGTACAACACTCCATCATTCACTCTGGGTATAAAAGAATTCAAAGAAAATGACAGGAAATTGTTTCCATGTAAATTCGGCACCTGTTTCTTCATTGACCGTAACGATTCCAGCTATCACATAGGCACCTGGCTAAACTTGAGAAATTTCTGTAGAAGAAAGATGTCCATCTTATAGAGAGTCAACTAAAAGGAGTAGAGAAAGGCAGGGACCAACTCTAGGTGTTCTAATAGACTGAGATGTCTGTCTTATAGTCAGAGTCAACTATACGGAGTAAAGAAAGGTAGAGACCAACCCTTGGTGTCCATCTAAAAGAGATATGCCAATCTTATAGAGTGTCAACGAAAAGGAGTAAATAAAGACAGGGACCAACTCTAGGTGTCCATTTAAGAGAGATGTCCATGTTATAGAAAGTCTACTAAAGGGAGTAAAGAAAGGCAGGGACCAATTTTATTCTTGGTGTCCATTGTAGATAGATGTCTCACTTATAGTCAGAGTCAACTAAATGAGTAAAGAGAGCCAGGGACCATCTCTAGGAGTCCATCTTATAGAAGTGTCTGTCAAAAGAGAGTTGATTGTTTTTCCCTGGTTGCATGATATCAGAAGTATGTCTTACTCTCATTCATTTTGGCAGCATTCTTTGTGGGAAAAAGTAAAAGGCATATGATAAAATGCTATTACAATGACAAAATAATAATGATAATCCAAGTGCTGGAAAGTGCTAATAACATGATATTCAGTTCAACATTATCATTATTATTTTTACAGGAGTTCAACCTCAAGTTCCCAGGTAAGCTTTAAAGGAGCCAGTCCAGTATTAATTGTCTAACAGTTGAGGACAGCATGACATATTATTAAAAGGCGAATGCGAGATTCTTATTGGCAATAATATTATTACTATCATGAGTAAAACTTTTGAACAAGTAATGCAAAATATCATTTTTTATTGATGAAATACTATTTGGCCGGCTTGATCAACTGGATTGAATCAAACTCTGTTACCCTATCCCAAGCCCTTCACCATTTTGTAAGTTTCAGGGGTTGATCAGATCCGGCCTGATCTTGGTTTTGTTTATGCCTGCTACATTTCTTTATGTCTTCTCTTTTATCCTAGTAGTACTTTAAGTGAATATTTTTATCATTACATTGCATTTGTAACTCTACTTCAATTTTTGTGTTTTGGAATTTAGGCTTCAAGAGAACAAACCAAAAAGAAGATGAAGAACGCTCTTGCCAAAGCAGGTATTCCTCAGTTTTCTTGCATTGGTTTGATCTTTTTTTGAGATACAGTTAATGCTGAAATATCTGTCATAGACACTGCACTGAGGGCTTGTTCACTGAAACACAATAACATTATTATCTCTTTTTTCCAGAATCTAAAGATGAAGTCTTGAAAAGAGATAAAGCGACCAAAGAATTGAGTATGTTTCCTTTCTTACCATGTTTTTTTTTCCTTAGAGTGTTTTGATCAAGCGTTTCACGCCCAGAAATGCCAAAGTCAAAATATTGTAAAGTTTAGAAAAATAAATACTGTAAACTGCTGCTTATATGCCCTGCTTATATCCAGGTTGGGTGGGGAGAGGTTTCATTTGAATAGCCACACCTCAGGAATTGATTCATGGTAATGTGGGAAAGTTTTCCTCAACTGTTTTCATTTTGATGGCATACCACAGGAATTGATCCACGGACTACTACTAGTTAGAACTACCTAATAAAAAGATAAAATAAAGCCAATGTTGGGCTTGACATTTTACAAATTGACCAAAAAAATATTTAAGAATTGTTTCAAGACCTGTTCTCAAAATTAGTAAACAACTTTGGAAGGGAGGAAGGGAGGTACCAGGGCTATGCAACCCACGTTAGGTTTCCTGACCTGACTGACCAGACTGAGCACATTAATTGAAGTTTTCTTTTTAGAACACTTATTCTGGTAAAAAAATATAAGATAATGTTCTTTGAATAGTAATGAGCTCCAGACCTTGCCATAATCTTGACTGATTCATTGAACAGGAAAACTAGCACCTGACAAAGAGGCCATATTACGCATAGAAAGCAACGAGTTTGTTCCTCAGTCCTTCAGTTCATCTTCTACCTCTAGAGGACAACAGGTGATGATATCAAAATTGCGCTTCTAAAATATTGAAATGTGGCCTCTGTGACGATTAGGGGTGGTGGTGGTGGAGGGTGTGGGGCAGGGGGGGGGTGGGGGGGCTTCTTCATTGTATGTATCTGCAAATACAGTGGAATCCCATCAATACGGTCACCAATGGGCCAAAAAACTTTGGCTGTATTAAGGGGTGACCGTACTATACAGGGTTTTTCTACAAGAAAATGTATGGTGGTTTTTGCTGGGTGCCCAAAAAAAGTGGCCATAATAACGATGTAGCTGGATTACTGAAGTGGCCATAAGGCGGGGTTTCACTGTAGGTATTTGTGATCCCAAAAGGTGTGGTCTTTACCCCCTTTAGTCTGAAATTGGGTGCAGATTTTAGACCTTTGAATATGAATTAGTATGGATTATTAAGAGTAAGGTTTTGTGCTTTCTGAAACCAGGGTGTAAAATTAGGTATATTTTACAGGTCTGAAATAACCAAGGGTCAGCTGAAGGGTTTCAGAAAGTATTTTCTGCTATCAATATCAATACATCATCAGCATATATTGTTAACTTAGTTTGTTCATTGTCTTCCCAACCAATCCTGTAAGACATGTTATCATACTCGTTATCTGCCTACCTACAGTTAACTTTCAAAATCAGTGCAACCCTACAGATTAGTTAGTTAAGTGCCAGCAGACTAGTGACTAATCTGTAGGTTGTGCTCTCAATTCGTGATTTCCAAGAGCAATGTCAAACTGTGTTCCATGTGATGCTGTGTTTGTCTTTATTTTCTTCAAAATAATGTATAATCATACAATTTATTATAAAATTCAGTTTTTGTGATATCCACAATGATCAAGGTCTCGGTGAGTCGGTGAGTGCTATCAGCCTCGGCCTTTGGCTTGGCTGATAATTCTTTCCTCAACCTTGATTATTTGGGGTATCAAAAAAACCTCATCCAATAATAATTATTGTTTATGACATCTGCGAGGCATCTCAAACTTCTCAAAGTAAAAAATCGTGTTTTTTTTAATTTTTGTGTGGTAGAGTGGTGCTAAGAACATAGATGGAAGTCATGAGGAGGCCATGTTTGGAGTTGGTGGATCAATACCTGACACCGCTGGTCAAACTACAGCACCTGAAGTGAAGATAACATCACAGCCAGTTATATCACAGTCAGTAGACAAGGAGGGACTGTTTGCCTCATGGGTAAGTCTAGTGTATATACTGTATAATGCTTGCCATAGTGTAGCTGGTGGTCTTATCAGGGAGGGGAGATGGTGAGAAACCATTTATTTGCACCCTTACCAGACAAGACCACCAGCTACAAAGGCTACTCAAAATAGCAACTGGTGGCTTGGTTTATTTTTTAACTGAGAAGGGGTCGCTGATTCAAAGAGGGTCACTTACTCGTTCCTCAGAACTTCAGCCTCAAGATGACATTGTCTTTGTTTCAAATGATCAGAACCTAAAACATTAAAACTAGAAAACTTGAAGGTTTTTTTTTACCATTTATGTATATGAGAGTACAGTCAAACTCCGTTAATACAGCCACTGAAGGAGCCATAAGAAGGGTCAGTATTAACAGGGTGCCTGTATTGCGATGGTCAAGGTATTTAGATAAAAAATACACCTTTTATTAGAACCAAATAATAAAAAATA